ATGGTTTCCATTTAAAACATTAAGAGGAAAACCCCAGTGAGGGGCTTCAGCCAGCAGCGCTGACTGAAAGCAGGTCACAGCTTTGAATGGAAAAGCCAGGTCTCACCTGGATGTTTTCTTGCTTTAAAGGATTTATATTAGTTTATTTTATGTGTGAGTGTTTTGCCTGCATGTATGTCTGTGCATACTGTATGCGCTTGGTGTCTGCAGAGGTCAGAATTGGGTATTGGATGCTCTGGAACTGGAATCATGGATGGTTGTGAACTACCACCATGTGGGTGGTAATTGAACCCAGGGAATTGAACCTGGGAATTGAACCCGGGTCCACTGCAAGAGCAGCAAGTGCTCTTACCTGCTGAGCCACGTCTCTAGCCCTTCTTTTCTTTTAAAAAAAATATTTATTTTATGTGTGTGTGTGTGTGTGTGTGTGTGTGTGTGTGTGTGTGTGTGTGCCTGAGTATATCTGTATGCACCACGTGTATGCAGGAGCCTGTGCAGACCAGAAGAGAGAATCGTTTCCTCTAAATTGGAGTTACAGGTGGCTGTGAGCCGCTGAGTCAGCACTTTCAATCCCTGCGTATCTGTCCAGCCCTTACCTGGACGTTTGAGAGGAAACTTCCATTTCTACCAAACATCTGTGTAAACTGCTTAAACTCCTTTTCAAACTTCTTCACGGTGTCCGCCAGCTGCTGGATCTTGCTTTCTTTCTGTTCGAGACTCTGATATAATTCAGAGATCTAGTAACAGGCAAGTGAACAAGGTGAGATGAGTCATTAATTGCATTCACACAGGCTCATGGGGTAACATTTTCTAGAGGGAAACGGTACATGTGCATTTCCAGGGCAGTGTTGATGGGCAGAGTCCCACGTAATTCAAGAAAGTATTTGCAGGTAGTCTCTAAAATCAGACCCATAGACTGTGCCATCCCTGACCTGCGGTGATGGCCAGCCAGTCGGGGTGTCACGTGGCTGGACTCGATACACTGCCTTGGTGCACTCTTTCATTGCTCACTGTCAGACAGACACCTGTCAGCGCCTCACCGAATTCCTGCCAGCTCTGTCTCTACCGTTCGTCCCCAAAGAGCCCCCTCGGGTAACTGTCAGCTCACAAGCAAGTGTAGCCAAACTAGGTGAGCACTGCTAAACTTAGACACCACAATCAATCTGTGTGTGCACACACGCATGTCTGCAGCTTCCTCTGCTGCTCTGGACCTCCCCCTTGAGACGGTCTCTCACCGAGCCTGGACTTGGGCTGCCCGCCCTCCACTCAGGTCCTCACGCTTGTGCAGCAAGTGCTCCTCTTACTCACTCAGCCACCCTGCCAGCCCAGAATTTGTAATTTATGTGAGGGAGACAACCAGAAACCTAAGAGTGGTCCCATTCAGTATGAATGCAGGCCAACTTCCACTCACAACATTACACACAGAAAAGCTCTTACAGCCAGTTCTCACTTCGTCTCATTTGTGTGTTTGTTTGGTTTCTGGTTTTTGAGAGTCTGTGGCCCAGGCTGACCTGGAACCAGCTACATAGCTCGGGTGACCAAGCCTTCTTGCCTCCACTTTCCAAGTGCTGGAATTTCAGGTGTACCACACACATACACATGCACACATACAGACAGACAGACAGACAGACAGACAGATGATACAACAACACAGACTCACTCACACACATCACTCACACACACACACACACACACACACACACACACTCACACACATCACACTTGTCCTATCTGTTCAGCAATCACAGTTTTTATCAATTCTTTCCTAGGCTGTGACGCTTCACACCTGATCCCACCCTGAGACCTTCCCTCACACAGGAGTGTTCCCTCCATGGAAGCTGGGATCATCCTGGATCTCACAGCAGCTGTATGGAGCCTGGTACCAGTTGGTGCTGGGAAAATATCTCCAGTTCATACTCCATATCACAACCAGCAACACCAAGAGACAAATCTGGTCTTCTATTTCCCCTGTTTCAACGTCTCCAGTGGCTTTTTTTTTTTTCTAAAGGAAACTGGAGGCTCTATATCTTCTGACACCCTTGTGGCTTCACACTCATTTCTCACCCATGTGCATCCTGTCCAACAAGACGGCACAGCACCTAGTTAACCATGTGCATCCGGCAAGACTGTTCAGTGCCTGCTTCTACCAGGGGACTTCCCTCATCCAGAATTACCTTTTCAGTGCAGCCGCTCAAAGGCACCGCCTCTGGGAATATCGCCTTACCCCCATCACCCACCCAGGCCCTCCCAGTCCCATCGATACCCACCCGTAGCTCCTTCATCGCCCCCACACTTGCTCTTAGTGTTGTTTTTGTCCTTTTCCTCCACTAGAGTGCTTGCCGAGACTCACTCCTTTATTCTCTGGACCCAGCGCGATCCCTTAGAGGGAAGACACTGGATGCGTGTTTGAGGAATGACGGACAAATGGCCAGGAGGCTCACCTGGCAGTCCCCCCACCCCAACCCCTGCTTCTAACCGGCTCCTGTTCTCCTGGTGCCCATCTCAGTCGATACCATCCAGGTTCTCTGCCTCCTAAGCATCCACTTCAGCCTCAGAATGCCTCCATGCTATCTGCAGTCCACTGGCGCAGGGGTGGCTCCCACCACCATTTCCAGCTCTCCATTCCCCTCCATACTGAAATGCTTCTTGTGTGCCAGGCACTATCCTGAGAGTGCAAACGCATTCCCCCGCTCCATCTACCACATCCCATTTACAAATGAGGAACCGGTGGGGGGAGGGGCCGAGAAGTGAAGCAGGTGGGTGTGTAGCCTGCAGGCTCAGGCCTTCCGGCTCCAGCACCCTCACTATCAGCCTCTGACACGCTATTCCCTTTTCGTAAAGATAATAGGTAATTGTACCTATTTTAAAGGAAATGCCACTCTATTACATGTTTAACAAGCCAAACACTGAAACACATTAGTTCTAACTTTTGACCTTAAATCCCTTTTGAAACAAGGCAGAGTATGCATAAGTAAAACAATACCTGAACACACAGTGTCAGGTTTACACAGAAAGTCACTGCTGTCTTGATCATCACTGTGTCTCACTCGGGAGTTCAGGCACTCGACTACTCCATTTCCTTAAACTACAGCACCCTTTATGCCAGCCTGTCTGGGCACACGCCCTGCTCCTGCACACTCTCTTTCCCTTCAGTGTCAGCCTGGGGAGCTGGCGAGACGGCTCAGTAGTTAAGAACACGTACTGCTCTTGCAGAGGAGCTGAGTTCAGTTTCTAGAACCCATGTTGGGCAGCTCCCAGCTGCCTCTACTCCAGACCTGACACCCTCTTCCAGCCTCCCCATACACCTACACTCATGCACACATTCCCCATACACATAATTAAAAATAAAGCAAACAAGGGTACAGCTTGGGTGTTCTACCCCGAGAGGCCTTCCACAGTTTTCCCAGAGTGCCTTGCTGCAGTCTCCGTATCCCACACAGCATTATTGTGTTCCAGAAGGCACAGCCACTCATCTATTCGTATTTCCATGATTCTTCACGGAGAGGCTATGTCTTCTGTGACTCAGTGTCCCTAACAATGAACCCTATACCTTGCATGTACTGTCTGTTCAATCAGTGGATGTATGCATAGGGAGAACATAAAGAACCCGCAGTTCCCAGGCAGCAGGGCCTGTGACCAGTTACTGCTGAGTCAGGATTTCTAATTTTCTCCTGGCTGTGACCCTGAAAAGCACACTCCCACTGTGACGTGGAATTGGACATCACAAAATAATCTGCAGTGGTAAACTTCTTCTCTGACAGCAGGCCTGAAAAGTCTTCCAAAATGGTCCTGCAACATAATTAACTTCCATAATAACTGCTCCTTAGCGCCAGCCTTTATGGATGCTGTGAGCGCTTCAGGAACCATGACAGGCTTGACAGCCAGGGTCAGTGAGTGTGTATGAAGTTAGTATGTGTTTATTGGGTTACAAAGCTTCTCTAGGGCAGCTTAGCTCTACATCAAAGTTCATGAAGCCCATAGTACTTAGAACAGACCTTCGACTACTGTAATGCTCTGACTGATCTAATTTTAAAATATCAAACAGTTGGTAGGTGCTCGGTAAGGATGAAGGGGATGTGCAAAGGCTCTGGAGTGGATGGGAAGCCACTGAGAGCACTGGCTTGAGATCCAGTTTGCCACTTACAGGCTACAGACTTCAGGCTTCTTTGATCTTAGTTCATCTGCAGGAGGTGATAAACCCAAAGAACTCAAAGGCACCTTCCAGCTCAAAGGTTCTATAACATCAAGGGCGTAACTGGCCACTAGTAGAAAAGCATGTGCCTTTAATCAGCTTACACGGAACCGGAGAGAGCATGACATGTGCCTTCAATCAGCTTACACGGAACCAGAGAGAGCATGACATGTGCCTTCAATCAGCTTACACGGAACCGGAGAGAGCATGAAAAAAACATAGCAGCTAAGTGTCAGCGATTGCCCTGCACCTTCCCACGTGGCCCCACGACTCACCTGCTGTTCTAGTCGGAAGTTCTTCTCTAAAACCAGAAGCATGTGGTCCCGCAGGGCTGCCTGCTCATGCTCCTGCAAGTTCCCCCTCTTGCCCTTCAATACGAAGCAAAAGTGAAGTCCAGTTATTGAGAAGCTCCCCAAACGAGGCAGGTGACAGGTACGCGCTTAACACAGAACCTCAGCAACTTGGCCAACTTAGTTTCCCTGTGCACTTTTTTCTAGAGAGATGCAGGAAAAATGACTCCACTGGGTCCTTTCTCAGCTTTAGAATTCTCCAGCAGCCAGGACCAAACAAGCTTACAGGACAATGAACCAGGCTGCTATCAAAACTCCACTGCTGACTTTCTTCCTGCCTTGGTGCAGGCATAGCCACCACTCAAC